CGTAGTCGTAGTAGTAGTAGTCGTAGTAGTAATCGTAGAAGTAGTAGTAGTAGTAGTAGTAGTAGTAGTAGTAGTAGTAGTAGTAGTAGTAGTAGTAGTAGTAGTAGTAGTAGCAGTAGCCTTTGTTCTACCGATTGGCGCGGGCCCTCGCATCCCCCCCCTGCCCCCTCCCAGTGTAGTAGAGCTTGGCTGTTTTTTGGGGGGGCGCCGGTCTCGAGCAGGTGGAGCCTCCCCCATGAACCGCACGGCCCCAAACCGTCGCACGAAGGAAGCAGAGGTCCGGGGCCAGACCCCCCCCCCTCCCCCCCCTCCGCCCTTTGTGGGCCCCGGAAACGGCAGGGCCGTTTTTCCACCGTTTCCGAAAACGTGTCCCTTGAGAATGGAAACGGCAAAAAAAAACGGCGACCAGAAACGGCAAAAAAGCGGCTCCAGGATTGGACCCAGAGCCGGAACCGGTCAAAAAAAGGCGACGGAACCGGTAAAAAAACGGCGTCGGAACCGGCAAAAAACGGCAAAACGGAACCGGTAAAAAAATTGCCTTGTCGTTTCCAGGGCCCACTAAGGGCCAGACCCCCCGACTCCCCCCCCCCCTCCGCCCAGTGTCGAAACGCCGAATACAACAAACACGTCAACCTTCGAGGATCGAAGGAGGTGCCGTCTCCCTTCCTCGGCGGGAGGCAGCGGAAGGGCGGCGGCAGCCCGCGGAAGCAGAGCCAGGGCGCCTCCGCTTGCGGAAGGCCAGCAAACGTAGAGGATGCGCCAAAGATGTGGCATGTTTTTTGGAGGATGCAGGACCGTCAGAGCCCGTTGCGTGGAGCCGGTGCTCGGGAAGAGGAGGGAGGAGTGAGAGAGGGGGGGCGGGAGCGAGGAAGGGAGGGCGGGAGCGAGGGTGGAGTATAGAGAGAGAGAGAGAACAAAAAAAAAAAAAAAAAAAAATGAGGACGGAGGGGGAGAGTGCCACGGGGGAAACGGGTCCCGAGAGAAACGGGCCCTCAGGTGTTTCGCCGTATTCGGGCGTTCGGGACCCTCCACGGGCCCTACAGGACCGTCAGGAAACGATTCGAGGCGAGGATGTCCTCCCGGGGGACGGCCCCGGGGCCCAAGGCCCGTTGCCCTCAGGGCCCGTTTTCCCGATGCTGCAGGAAGAACGGAGGGTCCGCAGCAGAAATGGAAGGGGTTGGAAGTCAACAGTTTCATGGATGGGAGTACGCGGGCGGCCCAGATGCAGCCTGATGGCTTTCGGCACTACAGTCGGGGCCCTGAAGAAGGAACCCTTTTCGTTGGGGAGGGGCTCCGTGTTCCTTAATTGTTTCGCAGCTTGCCTTAGGTTTCCCTTATGTTTTCGATATGAGACCGAAGTTTAACTCATGGAAACAAAGGGCCTCGTTCCTTATTTAGGGTTCCTTAGGTCAAGGCCCCGACTGTAGAAGCGTTGGGCCACTGCGTTGTGCCAGGAGTCGTGGCCCCGAGTGCGCGTTCCACCCGTGCTTGCGAAGGGGCGTGGCCCTAGACGCGCGGACAGCTTCCCACGACGGATCACTGCGTCGGGAGCGCGGGCCTCTTCCGTTGTCACCCGCCCTTCGGCACCCAGAAGGAGCTGAAGTTCAGCAGACACCCATGCTGCTCAGCTGCTCGGTAGGTATCGCGGAGCCGCGATGACCAGGTGTTCGAGTCCTGCGCCGCGCAGCCCAGGGGCCCCGCCAAGGTGCGGCCGCATCCTCGACCAGGCTTGCCTTGGCTGCTTGAGATTGCGGTGCGCGCAGTTGTGTCCGCTACAGGGCCTGCGTTTGGGTTGTCTTGGCTCCTCCTTTGAGCGGAATTGTGCGTGGGAGATACTCACAATGCTCATTTCTCGACTTGGGCCCGCATCGGCCACAGAAAGACTCAAAGTTCCAGTGATAGCCCTTGCCTCGATGCAGGGTTCCTGTGCGTAGCCGCGCAGCCTTTGTTTCTCTGGCGGGTAAGCAGGCCATACCGAATAGTAAGCACCGCCGGCGGCACATAACCTTCTCTACACGCCAGGACTGCGCCCAGCGCATGGCGGTCGCGGCAGACTCAGCTTCGGAGCTTGGCGGCATCCCCCGATCGCGGCAAGGTTGGTGTGCACCTCAGCGACACGGAGCCAGATTTCCGGTCGACATTATGGCGACGTCTGCTCGAGGACACGCATCGCCCTTGCCAGCAGACGAACGCGGGGGGGGAAGTGGAGGATAAAGAGCACAATGAGGATGCAGACGAAGGTACATGCTTTTTGGTATGCCACCTGCATCGCCGTCCGCTCCACAGGTGCCACTACCGTGCCCTATGAACGGCCCTTTCGTCCCCCAACATTCTTGTATCATGATTGTGCAGCCCTTCAGTCGTTATTTTCACCCTCCTTCGCTCCTTTTCTGTCAGTCCCTCTCCTCGTCGTTTTCCACGTCATGTTGATTGCCTTGTTTGTGTAAGAGCGGGGATATGTGAGCGGGTCGTGCCTGCCTCCACCCCACGCGCAGATGGCCGCCCCTGTCGAGGGGAAGCGACGGCAGGAGAGGCACACCGTCGCCGGCGAGAGAGTCGGCAGCAACCGGCCGCACTTGCAGGCAAGGGGTGGGCAACACGATCTGAACCCTCGAGGTTGGCAACGACACCGATGTCGGCGGTGTGCCTCAACCGATGGAAGATGATCCCGATGTCGGTGATTGTGTTGGTGTTCGGGCCACCGGGGCCTCCTAGGTGGCCGAAATATTCCTGGGATGATGGTTCAGACAAAGGTCGCCGAAAGTTCCCAGGGAGAAGAGTCAAGGCAATTCGTTGTTCCCTGGGCGATGTGACATTATTCTTCTGGGTTTCGGAGTTGGTTCTGGGTCCCGCCGTGTGAGACATCCTCAAGCACACCCCAAAGTGTGGCCTGGCTGGCTGGTCGGTTGGCTGTCTGGCTGGCTGCCGGGTCAACAAATGTCGGGTTCTCAACGGTATTTTTGTTGTTGTTGGTTGGTTGGTTGGTTGGCTGCTGGGTCAAAGAAAATAACCTGGGCCCTGCGGCGTGGGACAGCCTGAACACTTCCACGGGAAGAGCTGTTTGGCTGGTTCGTTGGTTGGAAGGTTGGCTGGTTTGCTGGCTGGCGGGTTGGTTGGCTGGTTAATTGGTAAGTAAGCTGGTGTATTGGTTGATCGATTGGGTGGTTGACCACTTTGGCGTTTGTTGGCGGTAAACTCGTATCCTGCTTGTCTGCAAACGAAATCTCGTTCAAGTGTGAGTACAATGCAACGAGATGTGCTGCACACCAATGATGCACACAAACACATGTCAATGCCAACGACAATCCAACGCAATGCAATGCAATTTCAATGCAATTCAGTGGAAACGGGAATTCGTGCACGTTACATGGCAACGCTTCGGGCCAGACTGATTCACTTTTCTCGTCATGTGGCAACGCTGGGGGGGGGAGAGGAACGACACATTTTGAATCTAGACGTTTCGCGTAACCCCACCAGTGAATCCAGAAACGATGCCCAGACGAGTTGGCCTGATCAGGGATGTGGAGGAGCATGCAGTGGAATATAGTGCCGGGTAAAGCCGGATGATGGAGGAGGAATCGGAGGAGCAGGGGGACGAGGAGGGGGAGGAGGAGGAGGAGTAGGCAGAGTGGGAGGGGGAGGATGGAGGAGGAAGGATGAGAAATAGACGGATGAGGAATAGGAAAGGAAAGGAGTAGGAGGAGGGCGAGCAGAAAGGCCAGAAACTTCTTGGATACCTCTCGGAGTCTCTTCGGATTTCTTTCCAGAGTTTCTTGGAGTCCGCCTGGGGTGTCTTGGGGGTCTCTTGGCAATCCCGGGTGCCTCTTCTTGGCATCGCTCGGACGTGTGCATCTTTCCTTTGGCGAGGACCATCCTTGATCATTTGGCGAAAAAAACACGCGCGAAACCGGAAAAAACACAAGGAATGGACGTCCGAGCGATGGCCAGTCTTGAGGCGTTTTGGGTGCATCTTGGGAGCCTCTGGGGGGGCTCTTGGGGACATCTTGGGAGCCTCTTGGGAGCCTCTTGGAGCTTCTTGGGGTCTCCTGGGCACCTCTCGGTGCCGTCTTGGGGCACCCTTGTGTGCCTCGGGGGGCCCTCTTGGGGCCCTCTCGGAGGAGATCGATCAAAGGAGGGGCCGTAGGACAGTAGGGTCACCCCCCCCCCCAGTAGGCCATCATGTGGCCAAAACTTGCTGGTGAGATCAGCGACGTTGGTCTTCTCGCCGAAGCCTCTTGAGGCGCCTTGGGTGCCACTGGGGGGCCTCTCGGGAGCCTTTGGGGGGCTTTTGGGAGCCTCTTGGGGGCATCTTGTGGTCATCTTGGGGGCCTCTTGGGGCCTCCTGGGCACTTCTTGAGGCCGTCTTGGGGGGGCACCTTCTGGAGCCTCGGGGGCCATCTTGGGGCCCTCTTGGAGGAGATCGATCAAAGGAGGGGCCGTACTACATTAGGGCCCCCCCTCCCCCCTGAGGCCAACATGTGGCCCAAGTCTTGTTGCACCAATACTATTGTTGCCTCGCCGAGGCCATGTTGGACGCTCGAACGCCTCGCGACCCCTCCCTCCAAACCCAGAGAGGGGGGGGGTAGGGGGGGGGGTAAACCACTCCCCGAAAGGGAAGAAGGGGGCTGGAAGAGGAAACTCGCTCAACCACTCTCGCCCCAACGGGCTGCTCGGATTCCACTCCAGACGCCACGTGGCAGTGCCTGGGGGTAGCGGGGGGCGAGGAACGAGTAATCCACTACCTACGTCACGTGGCAACGCCGCGGGGGCCGAGAGCCATTCAATTCCACTCACGCCTGGGAGCCACACAGTGCTATTCCTCGATACTCTTTATGTGGCAGCGCCGCGGGGCGGAAAACAAATGCAACTCTACTCGCCACGTGGGAACGCCGAGGGAAGGGGAAACCACCTCGGCTGGCCACGCGGCCACGCTGCGGACGACGACGACGAGGAGGACGAGGACGAGGGAGGAGGAGGACGAGGAGGAGTCCAGGCAGGCCTCCCTCGAGCCCCAGCAGCTTGCCCCGCCCTCTGCGGGCTCTCCCTTCGGGCCTTGCCCGTGCCTCCGCGGTTTTTGCCGGGGAGGGCCGCCCGCCCCCGGGGAGCCAGCCGTACGTCGGGCCCGTCCCTCGACAGGAGGAATGTTCAAACATAGTCAAAACATAGTCGGGGGATTATGTTTTGATTCTTCGTATTTGGAATGTTTGACCATTTTTGAAGTTTTGGGGTATTCTTTATTTTTCGTCGAAAATGCCCCTGTAGGGGGACGCGCCCGATTGAAAGCCAGCCACGTCCGGTCCACAGACCAGGGGGCGGAGGCGCTCCGACGCGGCTGGGGGAGGGGAGCCCGCGGGGGAGCGGAGAGCCCCCCACCGGGGAGAGTCGCGCGCGCGGGCGAGGCGGAGCTCCTCCTCCTCCTCCTGCTCCTTCCGCTCCTCCTCCTCCTCCTGCTCCTCCTCCTCCTCCTCCTCCTCCTACGTGGGCTCGGCACTGGGAGGCCAGTGGGGTGTCCCCCCCAGCCCTCGAGGGGTCTCACGATTTGCGACTGCCTGGGTACGAGCACGTACGACAGGCTGCACGGCGCGCGCTACTCACGACCTCATCGCACTCGATCGATGATCGTTCGAGGTAGGGCTCTGATTGCACGGGTTCACGCGCGGTCAGGGATCGGCACAGACCACGCGCAAGGCCGAGTCTTCTTCTTCTTCTTCTTTTTCCTCCTCCTCCTCCTCCTCCTCCTCCTCCTCCTGCTCCTCCTCCTCCTCCTCCTCCTCCTCCTCCTCCTGCTCCTGCTCCTCCTCCTCCTCCTCCTCCTCCTCCTCCTCCTCCTTCTCCTCCTCCTCCTTCCCCTCCTCCTCCTTCCCCTCCTCCCGCGTGGGCGCGCGAGAGGACGGACCCCGCCGTCGCTGGGGCGATGCGAGTGCCGTGGGCCGCCCTTCCGCGCCCCCAGGGGGGGCGCGCGGTGGCCCCCGGGGTGTCCCGCCGCAGAGCGTCTCGTGGGTGTCCCGTGGGTGGCCCCTGGGTGCCCCCTCGGTGCTCCTCCTCCTCCTCCTCCTCCTCCTGCTCCTGCTGCTGCTCCTCCTCCTCCTCCTCCTCCTCCTCCTCCTCCTCCTCCTCCTCCTCCTCCTCCTCCTCCTCCTCCTCCCCCTCCTCCTCCCCCTCCTCCCCCTCCTCCTGAGTCGGCGGCACCTCGGGCGGGCGTCCCCTCGGTGCTCCGTCGGCTGCGGGCGGGTGGTGGCCCGGGGCGTTCCGCCCGGGCATCGACGGCGGAGTCGGTGGTGGGAGCGATCAGGAGATCGCCAGAGTGCGACGGCTGGCTGACAGGAGGAATGTTCAAAAATAGTCAAAAATAGTCGGGGGATTCTTTTTTGATTCTTCGTATTTGGAATGTTTGACCATTTTTGAAGTTTTGGGGTATCCTTTATTTTTCGTCGAAAATGCCCCTGTAGGGGGACACGCCCGATTGAAAGCCAGCCACGTCCGGTCCACAGACCAGGGGGCGGAGGCGCTCCGACGCGGCTGGGAGCGATCAGGAGATCGCCAGAGTGCGACGGCTGGCGAGAGCAGAAGTCCGAGGAGCACGGAGGTCGATGGCGACACTGCTCGTGCGATCGATCGTGAGACCGCCAGTGGGAATCGATACCGGGATCGATGTCTGAATTCACTGGTACCGAAACTGGCCGCGAGGTCGACAGTGGGATCGATCGAGTGAGGTCAAAAACGGGGACGATACTTACATTAGAAAGAGCGTGTTCTACCGCTGCTGGCGGAAAACCGGGGGGGGTCACTACCGGTTCGAACCCCTCCCCCCCCCCCCCCCCTCCCGAAAACCCGGGGGGGGTCACTACTGGTTCGAACCCCTCCTCCCCCCCCCCCCCCCAGCTCATCATGAAAAGGGGGGGGGGTCACTACCGGTTCGAACCCCCCCCCCCCCCCCCCTCGAAAACCGGGGGGGTCACTACCGGTTCGAACCCCCCCCCCCCTCGAAAACCGAGTGGGGGTGCGGACAGTGGTGGGGACGGTGTTGGTGGGGACAGTGGTGAGGGGATAGCGGGACAGTGGTGGGGACAGTGGGACAGTGGGACAGTGGTGGGGACGGTAGTGGTGGGGACAGTGGTGGGGACAATGGTGGGAACAGGGGGGGACAGTGGACAGTGGTGGTGACGGTGGTGGTGGGGACAGTGGTGTGGGGACAATGGGAATGAGGTGGAAACAGTGGGACAGTGGAGGGTACAATGGTGGTGGGGACAGTGGTGAAGGCGGTGGCGAGGACGGCGGTGGGACAATGGGACAGAGGTACAGTGGGGACAGTGGTGGGGACAGTGGGGACAGTGGTGGGAACAGTGGGACAGCTCAGTGGGACAGCGGAGGAGTCAGTGGGACAGTGGGGACAGTGGGGATAGTCGGGCAGTGGTTGGGGCCGGGGAGACAGTGGGGAGAGTGGAACCGTGGTGGGAACAGTTCTGGGGACAGCGGGGACAGTGCGACAGTGGTGGGGGCACTGGTGGGGACAGTAGGGGCGGTGGTGGAACCAGTGGGGACAGTGGTGGTGAGGACAGTGGTGCTGGGAACACCAGTGGGGGATGTGATGCGGACGGTGGTGGGGACCGGGAGTCGTTTGCTGGCGGTGAGTAGGGGGGGGGGGGAAGGGGGGGGGGGGTTCGAACCGGTAGTGACCCCCCCCGGTTTTCCGGATCCGGAGGGGGGGGGGGGGGGGGGGGAGGGGTTCGAACGGTAGTGACCCCCCCCCCTTTTCATGATGAGCTGGGGGGGGGGGGGGGGGGGAGGGGTTCGAACCGGTAGTGACCCCCCCCGGTTTTCGAGCGGGAGGGGGTGGGGGGGGGGGGTTAGGGGAGGGGGGGGTTTTGCGGGGTGGAGGGGGGGGGGGGGGAGGGGTTCCAGCAGGGGGGGGGGGGGATTTTCGGCGGGGGGGGGGGGGCGCCCCCGGGTCCGGAGGAAAAGGTTGGCAATTTTCCACAGTAAAGCGGCGGTGGATCACGCTCTCTCTTACATTACATCGCATCACAATATCGTCATCAAGCGTCGTCGCTAACTCGACGGCGCGTCACCATCATCGTATCACACCCATAACATTTGCCAGCACTTTGCTGTTTCCCCCCACCCCCCAACTTCCTCATCATCCGAATGGTGGTCGTACAGGCTGGAAGAGTACACCCCGCACCGAACATGGCAGAAGGGACTTTGGAACAGCAGATCCCCTGAACCACATACGCCGTGAGGGCTGCCGTGATCCCTCCCAGGGCCCGTGACTTGAATTTTCACTCTCAAGCCAGGGCCCGGTAGCAGCAGCGCCGTCTGAACCGCGGTCCTGGGCCCCATGCAGCAGTACTCCGTGGGCGAGACCGTCGAGGTGTGGAGCCACTCCAGGAATGCCTGGATACCCAACGCGACGGTCATCCACGCCCCCGCGGTGGACTCCTACATAGAGGGTTTCGACGTCAAGGCTGGCTCCCTGAAGGTGGAGTACAACGGCAGCTCGAAGTGGCTCCTCCCCGACATGGTCGCGCAAGACGTCAGGCGCCCCGTCGTGGAGAAGACGAAGGTACACAATCATCAACCGTTGGAGCGTCGAGCGGACTTCTCGGACCGACGCCCAGCCCCCCCGTGGCGACGCGCCCAGCGCCGCCCACGGCGCGCTCCGCGCGCGTTTCGGAGGGGGCTCGGGCGCCGATGCGAGAACTCCGCGCGGAGCTCCCAACGTCTGTGCTGATGTGTGTGCTCGTCCTGTCCTCGCATCGGCAAGAGCCCGGCCGGCGCAAGCTCGGCGAGCGGGCCGGGCAAGTGCAAGTTCGGCTGCGGCCGGGCCGTGCAGCCGGGGCTGACGCGGGGCATGAAGCCGTTCGACACGTGCTGCAAGCGCTGCGCCCTGAACGGCGGCAGGGGGGACCACGACCCGAACTGCGGGGGCACGAGCCCTGTGCTGCACAGGTCGGAGGCGGAGGAGGAGGAGGAGGAGGATAAGGAGGAGGAGGGGGAGGGAGGAGGAGGAGGAGGAGGAGGAGGAGGAGGAGGAGGAGGAGGAGGAGGGGAGGAGGAGGAGGAGGAGGAGGAGGAGGGGGAGGGAGGAGGAGGAGGAGGAGGGGAGGAGGAGGGGGAGGAGGAGGGGGGGAGGAGGAGGGGGAGGAGGAGGGGGAGGAGGAGGAGGAGGAGGAGGAGGAGGAGGAGGAGGAGGAGGAGGAGGAGGAGTGAGCCATGCAGGGAGAGGGTCCTGAGGCGTGTCGTCGGTTTCGGCCCTCCCGGGCCCTTCCCTGGCCGCGGGGACGTCGAGCATGACTGCAGGATGGGACAGCGATCCCGGGAAGAGACCCCAGTGTCCAGGAGATGTTTCCCTCAGGACCCCCGTCTCTCATGGCAAACAGGCCATCCAGGTCGGAGTCAGGCTTGCCCTGCGTCGACGCCCGTGCATGGCTGGAGGAGCTGACAAGGTCAGATGGGGCTCTCCAGAAGTACACCGCCGAGGTCTTCGAAAGTACGACCAGCGGGCGGAAGACCATGAACCTAGATGAGTTCAAGACGGCCGTCAAGGATTTATTGCTTCACCCAGTTGGGGCCACGTTGTCCTCACCAGAGGATGCCCTACGGAAAGTGTACAACAAATACGACAGGGGCTCGGGCCTTGAAATCACATCTTTCCGTAAGATTTGTCGCAATGTATTGATAGATTATCACGAATCGTATTTCCCCCGCGTGTTACCTTTTGAGGTATGCAATTTCGTCCGGAGGAACAGGCAGGCGTTCACAGATTTGTATGAAGTGGGCGAGAAGCTCGGAGAGGGTAGCTTCGGCATTGTGTCCATGGTTACGCACAAGATCTCCCGCGAAAAGCGTGTCTGCAAGAGAATCGAGAAGCTCCGTGGCAAGGTTGGCATGCCGGTGGAAGATATGCACTCGCTTCGCCCATTCCGCCGACCCATATTGCTCGCCTTGGAATCCGTTGAAGCTTCCTGGGGGCCTCTTCGGGCGCAAGGCTCAAATTGTCGGTTCGTGCTGCTCCCCCTCTTGGGCCCTTCTTGGGGCCGTTTGGGGGCTCTCTTGGGCTGCCTTGGGCGCTTCTTGGGCCGTATCGGGGCCGTTTTGAGATGTCTTGGGACTTTCTTTGGCGCCTCTTGGGCCGTCTTGGGATGGTCTTGGGGGCCCCTGAGGCCGTCTTGGAGCTTCGGATGCTCGAAAAGGTGATAGCGTGAAACACATTGAAGACCACAATCAACATCACTAAGCCTTGTCTCTGTGGGCTCTCGTGGGGGTCCTCCTGGAGCGCTCTTGGGGCTTCTTTGGGGCCTCTTCGGCTGTCTTGGAAGCATCTTCGGCCATCTTGGCGGCTTTGGTGGCCTCCCAGGTCCGTCTTGAAAGCCATCTTGGGCATTTGGGAGGCCTCTTGGGCGCTATGAAGATCGCTTGGAACCGATCCCACCGTTCTGCGTGTGTTGTGGGTCAGCATCGTCAGGGATGCTCGTGGCGAGCGAGAAGCAAGAGGAGGAGGAGGAGGAGGAGAAGGGGGAGAAGGAGGAGGAGGAGGAGGGGAGGATGCGGATGAGGAGGTGACCTTTCGATCGCTTCTTGGGGCATTTTGGGGCCCAACTTGATCGTGGAAAAGACGCCTGTTTGGGAGGCTGCTTGGGGTCTCTTGGAAACCTTTCGGGGGCCTCTTCGCGATAGTTTTGGGACCTGCTGGGGCCTCTTAGGGGGGCTTTGGGGGGCCTCTTGCGAGCCTCTTGGCGCCTTCTTGGCGCCTTCTGGGGGCCTCTCGGGCCGAGAGCTGAAATGTCCGTTCAGGTGCCTCCTGAGAGCCCGCTCTTGGAGCTCTCTTGGGGGCCTCTCGGGCCGTCCTGGAGGGCTCTTGGGCTGCCTTCGGGCTCTCTGGGGCCGTTGTGGGGCCCTCTCTGAGGCGTCTTGGGCCGTATTGGAGCGATGTTTGGAGCCTCTTGGGCCGCCTTGGAGCGCGGGTAAGACGAAAAGGCGAGAACGCCTAAATGCTTGATAGATCGACGGCAGTCCATGACTTTTGGCATCTGGGGTCCCTCTTGGGAGGGGTCTTGGTGGCCTCTTGGGGCGTTTGGAAAGGCGCTTCGTGCCACCTGAAGGTCACACTGGGCGTCTTGGACCGATCGTTCGACGACTGGGAGCCCTCGTGGACCGTCTTGGGGGCCTTTGGGAGCCCTCTTGGATCTTGGAGCGCTCCGCAGGGCAGGAAGGGCGGCGCCCAGAAGGAAAACTATCTCTGATCCGAACCGGCCAGGGTACGTTTCGTCCGGGGACCCCCAGAGGCCGACACGCGCGGGCGAAGCATGGTCATTGTAAAGCAATTGCGGGAGATCTTAGCACGCCTCTGGCACTTTGTGCCAGCGAATTTTGAAGGAGATCGACAGCATGGCCAAGTTGGATCATCCGAACGTGATCAAAGTATACGAGTATTTCGAGGACGGCACTAGCATTTCTCAGATTATGGAGCCTTGCAATGGAGGAGAGCTGCAGCACAGAATCGACGACATGTTCAAGAAGGGAACTCAACAGTATGACGAGGGCTTCATCTGCGACGTGATGAAGCAGACGTTGCGTGCTCTAGCGTTCATGCATAGCGCGAAGTATATGCACAAGGACCTGAAGCCTCAGAACATTATGATGGTCGACCGGATATCCCCGTCGATCAAGCTTATTGATTTTGGCCTGGCGGAGCTCTTTGAGAAGGAGTCGTCAGTGTCATCGGTATTCGGCGGGACGCTCCTGTACATCGCGCCAGAGGCGTTCGGCCGCGGGCTCGAGATGAAGAGTGACGTTTGGAGCGCTGGTGTCATTTTGTATAATTTGATCACTGGTGACTACCCCTTCATGGAGCAGTGGCCCCTTCCGCCAGACAAGGACATAACCTGGTGGCAGAGTGGCACCCGCAAGGCTATCGAGACCCAGAGTCACCGCGACCATAGGAACTTGTCCAACGGATTCGTGTCCAAAGACTGCGTGAACTTGATGGAACTGACTATGGTAAAAGATCCGCGCGGTCGCCCAGACGCGGCACAGTGCCTAGGGCACGAGTGGTTCAAGAAGTTCGACAAGAAGCCTCCGCCTTTGTCGGTGGGCGTGTCGCAGTGCTTGGACGCGTTCGCGGGGCAGCCCGAGCTGAAGAAGGCCGTCTTCTTGCTGATTGCCCACCAGAGCTCGGTGCCGGCTCTGCAGGAGCTCCGTGCCATTTTCACCCACTTCGACACCTCGAACCGAGGCACGATCAGCGCAGCCTCGATACAGGAGGTGCTTAGCACGGCTGGCATGTCTCACCTGCGCGCTGCGCGGATACTCCATGCGTTGGATCGTGACCAGAGTGGCGCTGTCTCCTGGACGGAGTTCATCGCCGCAGCTCTGTGCGTCAGCGTGTGTAACAGACAGCCCCTCGTGGCGGCTGCTTTCGCAGCGATTGACCAGAACAACGACGGGAAGGCTGGCATTGAGGATGTTAAAGACGTGTTCGCGAAGGGGTACGAGTCCTTGTGGTCCGAGCTCCTTCCGGAGGAGTGTAAAAAGATCGCTGCAGATTTTGCCAGAAGCGAATGTTTCACCAGAGATCAGTTCCAGGAGTACATGAAGGAACACATGAGGGTGATCGCAGGCGATGCGGTCGCCGCAGTGGCTATGTAATCGTACTCCTGCGCGCCATAAGAGCGCGTCGCGTTCACAGTCTCTTCATGAGTAGTTTCAGAGTTCCGCTGTACTCGGTGACAGAGAACAGAGGCGAGGCTCGCCAGGATTAGCCAGGAAGACCGACCGATTCCCCTGGTGGTAAAAGCGCCGATCATTGATTAGCTGCGAAAACTCGTTTCCCTGGTGGTATCGTGGCCGGTGAGATTTCAACGTATGGGATACCATCGGATTTCTCTCTGGCGCAGCCCAGCCGAAAGCGACAATGCTTGGAACCCTTCGGAGGATGAAGCACGCGGGGGGCGCGCTGGTCTCGCTGCCCCCCCCCCCATGGTCAAGAGGAGTATTCAGGCTCATGCAGCCAACTCCGTCACCGTACCAGCGCAGTATTCTATGCTGCAACATGTCGAGAGCCGTCCAGGAGGCCGTGACACGTGTCACGCTCTGCCGCTGTCTCGAGAAGGCCGTAACATGTGCCATCTCTGTTGCACATGCACCAGTTGGCAGTCACACAAAACAGCTCGCTTGCGCCATTGAGAGAAGCCAACGGAGTCGACAGTTGATTCCCCAATAGCCATGCGGGCCGTAACAGGCGGCATTTGGGATTCGAGACCCTCAGGCGGAGCCAAATGGAGGGCTCGTTTGAGATGTTCTGTGGGCTTCTCGGGAGCCTGCTCGAGGTCCTCGGGCAATCTTCGGCGTGTCGCGGCCAAGTGGAAGTCTTGGGGCAGTCCCTCTTGTGGCCGTCATGTGGCGGTGTTGGGGCATCTTGGGGCCTTCCCCTCCTTATGTTTTTGTGTTCTGTCTTGCCGAGGCGCCGTGCCATAGGCTGGCGCATGGCTTTGTTGTTTCTGTGGCCTCATAATGGGGTCCTCAGATCGTCGTGGAGCTATCTTCGGCTGGGGGCCTCTGCTGCCGCTTGCGGCCCCCTGGGGCGGAACGCCTGTGGCAGGTTCGGGGCGGTGTCGGAGGCCTAGAGGTTGACACCAACACCAAGGTATGATGATCCCGATCTCGGTGATGGTGGTCATGTTCGGGCTTCCAAGGTGGCCGAACTATTACCACCAGCACCGCCATCTAGGGTCAGCTTCCACTGGTTGAGGGAGACCCTGGTGTTGGTGTTGGTGCCCATGTCCACGCCTCCTACAGGAAGGGTTGTTCTGGGTCTCTCGGGATGGACGTCCCATCCGCATACTGGGACCTCGGGGGCGGTCTTGGAAGCCATTGCGGGCATCTGCCTGGGGGTTCAGGGGCCATATCCCCCTCAGAGAAGCTCATACGTCCACGGTTCGCAGATTTCTTCTCCGCGTTGGGTTTCACGTCCGTTCTACCTTCTTTGTTTGTCTCGGTGTCAGTTCCTTCGTTTTGTTGTTGTATCTCTCTCTCTCTCTCTCTCTCTCGATATATATATATATATATATATATATATATATATGTATAGATGTGTAGGTATGTGCGTATGCATGCATGCATGCATGTATGTAATACCATGTAATGTAATGTAGTGTAATGTAGTGTAATGTAATGTAATGCAATGTAATGTACGGTAATGTAATGTAAGGTAAGGTAAGGTAAGGTAAGGTAAGGTAATGTAATGTAATGTAATGTATGTAATGTAATGTAATGTAATGTAATGTAATGTAATGTAATGTATGTACGTATGTATGTATGTATGTGCGTATGTATGTTTGTATGTATGTATGTATGCATGCATGTATGTATGAATGAATGAATGAATGAATGCATGGATGTATGTATGTATGTATGGTTGTGTGCGTGTGTGTATGTGTGTATGTATGGGTATACATATGTTTAAATATATGTGTGTTTCACTCTTCTACTCCCTCTATATCTGTTGATACATGCATATCTCGATCCCTGTCTCTCTTTCTCGCTATCGCTCTCTCTCTCTCTCGCTTTCCCTCCCTCTCTTCCTCTTTCTCTCTATATATATATCGCTCTCTCTCTCTCTCTCTCCTCAGCCCTCGGAAGCTCCTGCAAGCACTCCAGAGCACCAGATGGCCTGCCGCATCTCCCTGGAGAGCTCCAGGCTGATTCCAGAGCGTTCTGCGGCATGCCAGAACTCCTCGACGCTCCCTGCCGCCACCCGGAGCCCCCAAGGGTGGCCGATGGCCCTCCGGCTCCGCCCGGGCCGCCGAGCGCCGGCCAGAGTCCGTCGGGAGACCCTCCTGCGGCATCCCGGGAGCTTCCCTGAGCTGCCTCAAAGCCTCGAGGCTCTTGGCAGCATGCCGGTGCCCCCATGGGGCCCTCAAGCGCGTGTGCGCCTCTTCTCCAGATCCTCCCACAGCGCTGCAGAATCTCTCAAGGGCACATTCGAGGGGCCCTCAAGCGCGTGTGCGCCTCTTCTCCAGATCCTCCCACAGCGCTGCAGACTCTCCCAAGGGCACATTCGAGGGCCTGCTTCATGGATCCTATAGGGCCCTCCGGTGCGCACAAGAGGTTGCCCAAGCTTTCTAGAGCCACCTTGAGCCCCCGAGCGCACCCGAGTGCCATCTAGATTCGTTGAAAGCCGCCAGGAATATTCTAGCATTCATCTGGAGCCGCCTGTTCCGGAAGCCCTCTACGGGAGTTCCAGAGAATTTACAGAGTCACAGGACAATCTAGAGTTCTCGAGTGCCTCTGCTGACCCACAAAGGCACCGCAATGGTGCCAAGGAACACTCGAGAGTCTGTTAGATCCCTATCTAAAGCCTCTTTGGGTTGTGCTTAGTTCCTAAAGCTCTCTGAAGCACGGACGAAATCTTCAAGGCTTCTGGAGCAACCTCGAGCCCTTGATGGCACTCGATTGCCCTCTAGGCTTAAGTCGGGCTTGTCCCTCTGCAGGGGGAATATTCCCAAATAGAAAAAATAGTCTGGGGGCGATTTTTCTAGCATTTTTGTCCAAAATCCTTCTCTAGGAGGACACGCCCGATCTAACTATAGGTCTGGTTCGAATCCCCTGGAGCATTCCAGAGATCCCCTGCGGTACCCTCCTGCCGCATTCTCGAACCTTCTGGGTCCTCCAGGGCCCAGCGCTACAACATTGTAAGACCCCGCAGCGCGTTGGGAGCACTGAGATCTCCCCAGAGCAGTCGATCGAAGGGGAAAGGAACGCCATAGACATACACTTTTGGCGTTCCGCGCGGATCTCTTTGATCCGCGCCTGGGCCCCCGAAGCGGCGCCTCCGGCGCCGCCCCTGGCCCGCTCCGCGCGCCAGGGAGGGGGGTCCAGCGCGAATTCAAGAAATCCGTGCGGAGCGCCAAAAGTTTATGTTAATGTGTTTTTGTTTTCTGCTGTAGTCTACGACCCCTCTCAGCACCCCAGAGCCTTCCAGAGCCCTCTAGGGCGCCTTAGAAAACATGACATCCTCAGGCCGCAGATGTTCCTCCATGCGTGAAACTATGGCAACACCTCTGGATACAAGAGGATGTTCTTTTGGGTGTGTAGCAGTTCCGTGGATCCTGTTTCTATGCTGCGCATATCCAAGCTCCTGTGTTTGGAAATCCCAAATTTCAGGAGGACAAATCTGGAGCAGGGAAAGGGGAGGGAGGAGGTAAGTGGAGGAGGAAGAGGAGGAGGAGGAAGAAGAGGAGGAGGAAGATGAGGAGGGAGGGAGGAGGCAGGAGGGGGGACAAGGCGGGAGGAGGGAGGGGGAGGAGGACGAGTAGGAAGAGGAATAAGAGATCGAGGAGGATGGAGGTCGAGGAAGACAAGCAAAGTCTCAAGGTCGGGAGCTCGAGCGCCACAGCGGGCCTGGGCATCACACGCGCACCTCCCATAACATACGGTTGCTCGGACGCCACAGCGGGCCTGGCCAACTGTCGCATCTCCTCCCATAACATGTGACGCCCCGTTGTCAAGCGAGCGCAACATGCATCCGTTTACTTGAACGTCACGGAGTTTCCAACACCTCGGGCTGAATGGCGCTTCAGGTCTTCCAGCCCGCGTAAATGTTTCTCCCCAGAATCTCTCCAGAGCGCTTTCTAGAGCACTCCAGAATCCAATGAAAGCCTCCGGTTGTCCTTAAAGGATGTCCTCAACCTATTAGAGCACCCTAGACCCATCGAGAGCACCCGAGAGCCTGTTAGATCCCTCTTGTTCAAGCCTCCGATAAGGATGCTAGAGCCATCGGGGGCACGGTTGGATTACCCTGGCGACGTACCCAACCCCTGCGCAACACGGGGCATGAGTAGCTTGGGAAACGTTATACGGAGGTGATGACGTGACATGGGCGCATCTACTTCTGCAAGCGGCATTCGTGAGGCTCGCAGCCCCCCAGGGATTGCGATGTCCCGCTCAGATCTGCCTGGTGCCTCGCTCCGCTGGGCCCACCAACAGCCCTCGAAAGTGGCGACGGTTTCGCAGATCGCAGCCCCCCCAGGGACGGCGAGGTCCAGCTCAGGCCCGCGCGGTGCCTCACTCCGCAGGACCCACCAGCAGCCGTCGAAAGTGGCGACGGTGTCGCAGATCGCAGCCCCCCAGGGACGGCGAGGTCCCGCTCAGGCCCGCGCGGTGCCTCATTCCGCAGGAACCACCAGCAGCCCTCGAAAGTGGCGACGGTTTCGCAGATCGCAGCCCCCCAGGGACGGCGAGGTCCCGCTCAGATCCGCGCGGTGCCTCGCTCCGCAGGACCCACCAGGAGCCCTCGAAAGTGGCGACGGTGTCGCAGATCGCAGCCCCCCAGGGTCGGCGAGGTCCCGCTCAGGTCCGCGCGGTGCCTCACTCCGCAGGACCCACCAGCAGGCGTCGAAAGTGGCGACGGTGTCGCAGATCGCAGCCCCCCAGGGACGGCGAGGTCCCGCTCAGGCCCGCGCGGTGCTTCACTCCGCAGGACCCACCAGCAGGCGTCGAAAGTGGCGACGGTGTCGCAGATCGCAGCCCCCCAGGGACGGCGAGGTCCCGCTCAGGTCCGCGCGGTGCCTCACCCCGCAGGACCCACCCGCAGGCCTCGAGAGTGGCGACAGTTTCACAGATCGCAGCCCCCCAGGGACGGCGAGGTC